TTAGGTCTGGTCACGGGGCCGACTCTGACATGTGAGGTCCCAGGAGAGAAAGAGCTGCCACGGGCCCCGGCACCCCCTCTCTGGGAGGCTGAGTCCGTCGCAACTCACCGCATCTCCCACAAGGGAGTGGGAGCCTGCACAGGCCCCAGTTTACATGCAATAACCCATGCGGATAACGTTAGTGAACGTTAAAGCAGCAGTGGAAAACCATGGCCTCTACCAGACTGGTTTCTACAGAAATCACCTGCGCTGTCCTGCACACTTGCCTCTCGTTTTCCATGAAAAATCATTTTAACAATTATTCTAGTTCTCTTTTCAAGGAAAAAGTTGGGAATATCTATACACCTCTTCCCCCCCGCCACCCAAGCCAATGAAGAACGTACCATTTTTGAGACCTTCATGGTGGAAATAATTCTGAAACTCAATGAAAAACCAGATTTACCAGGTTTACTGACTGTGTACACACAGAGAAACACAGAAATTTTAAAACCCCAAATACTGTTAACCACCTGAGAGTGAACCACCGCTTTTTTGAAGCGCAGCAATGATACAAAGCTTTTGCGGCATGAACCAATTTGAACCTTCATTCGGCAGAATGTGAACTTTAAATGACAGAGAATTAGCAAAATGCTACCCAGGGAGGCAAAAGGATTGTGAATCACTTACAGGTTTTGACTCGATGAGTCCGAGGCCGATATACAGAGATAAGTCATGCCCTGCAAGAAGAAGAGAGTTGCAGCAGTAAGATACCTTGGAGAAATGCAAAATCTCCCATTTCTCTCTGTTCCTTCTCCCTAGAGGAGCCTCTACGTAACATGCACTCGGAGTAAAATCCCTCCTCGATCCCCGGGAGTTTCTGCTGTGGGCAGAGGCAGGATTTCCCCAGGGCTCAGAGCAGCGCCCGGGACGGTTCCCGAGCGGGGAGGATGCTCCCGACGCGTCTCCCGCGGGAGCTGCCGCGAGACCCCGGCGGCTCCCGCGTCCCAGGTGCCCCACGGCGGCGAGGTGCGAGCCCTGCCGGGAAGACGTGGGCAGACACGAATTCCCCCAGTCACGCTCATCAATGAGTTATTTCCTCCCCATCCTTTTAAAATACAATAAATCATCCTGCCGCACGTTGGCGTAGGTCAGATCACTTTCCTTTCTTTAAAACATCGCTTCCTTGATCCTCCCTGTTCCGAACTAAAATTAGATCCTTTTCGTCTGTCTTTTTTTTTTTTTTTGGTCCTCAAAGCGAAACAGGGTGGAAATCCTGCCAGACAGAGCTGAAATAGCCGAGCACCCGGGCACCAAAGATTGGGGCGTCTCCGGACCCATCCGCCCGCCGAGCGGCTGGAAAACACCCGGAGCGAGCTCCGGCACGGCCAGAGGCAGCCCCGCACGGTCGCTGCTCCACTCACGAGCCGCCCCGGCTGCTGCAGGTGGACGGGAGCTGCTGGGAGCACGTGTGGAATGAGTTTGATGGGTCTCGGCCCAGCCCTTGAAGATGGTATTTGTGAAACCAAGCAACCCCGGAGCGACGCTTGCTGGAAAGGTGCAATGAGTCCCACTTTCCACATGGCCAAAGGAAATCCCTTTGAGTCAGAGGGCTGCAGGAGGGACCGGACTGGGCTGGAGAGTCACAGGCATTCAGCAATGTCCCACCAGAGGCTCAAACCCAGGAATGTCGCTGGGATGTTCCTGCTCTGGAAGGACCCAGGCTCCAGGGCCAGCTGCCCGCAAAGAGGCTGTGCAGGGAGTTTCCCGTGTGTGTCCCCCTCCATCCACCATCACACCCGTCCTGCGCCCTCCGCCGTGGTGCGGGCGAAGCCGCCACCCTGCCCAGCGCATCCGAAGATGCTCAGCGAGGCCGCAGGAGATGGGGACCGAAACGGGGCCGAGCGATTTCTCCCTCCTCACCCTGGCCGAACTGCGGGCTTGCCAGCATGGGGGCAGCCCGGGGCGTCCTGGAGCTCCGGCTGGGACAGGAGAGTGGGAGCAAGGGGACCAAAGGGGACGGAGCTGTCTGGACCAGCTGGGGTTGCAGATTGGCACTGAGGGGCTCCGGCAACTCCAGGGACGCAGGTTTGGGAGAGGAGGGGACGGTGAGTCAGGGCCGCAACTCAGAGCGGGATGCTGGAGGGAGCAAACCAGCCTCGGGCTCGGCACAAGCAAGCGACGGCAGCAGAACAGGCTGCAACGGGCCAACAGAGCCGGCTGTAGCTTCCCCGCACCTGGCACCCGGGCACCGGCCTGACGCCCCTGCAGCGAGCAAAGGCGCCATGCAAACCTCCTGGCGCCCCAGCCCGCCCCGCACACGCACCCTGGAGTAACTGCCAGGCTGCGAGGCGCTTCCTCCTCCCCATCACGAACGATGGGGGGCCTGGTCCCCCGC